GTGTCTCATGGGATTCCCAGTGCTTGAGGAGACTTGAACGATTGCGCTTGAGTTCTTTGGCATTTCGAAGACGGCGCTCACACCATTCGAAAAATTGGGATATCAGTGAAGTCGAAGGCATCACTTCGCAGCACCGCCAAGTGCGCAGTGGTCTTAACTGGAAGGAAACAATCTGAAGGGACCCCGATGGCCTGTGCATCTGGACATAAGGAAATGGCAGCACCCATGCTCGTCTCCACTTGCACTGCAGTGGAACCTGCAACTGGCTTCGGCTCAGTGAACTGTGGAATCAGTGACATCTTTGCTTGTAGGATCCAGCTTCTTCTCATTTGCAATGAGTGGCAGCGCCTGCTCATCTTGCCTGTGGACTTGGGCGCTCTCCCGCAGTGTGAACTTACCATCGGGAAAGAGGTCCGCCCGCTTATCCTCTTCACCGCGAGCGCAATCACAGCCTCACAGCGTGACAGCAACGTAGCCGTTCTCACGGGATGGCTTGCAGTGTACATGATCAAAAAGCAAGTGTCTGGTCCTGGCCTCCATAAGCAAAGATGCTCCAGAGCTGGCCATGTGCCCCAGAAGGCACATATTGTCACATGTTCACCGAAGCGCCCAAATTGTCACAGTTGGTGACAAACATGTACCTTAAAGCTCGGGTTGGAATTGCACTCTGCATTTGCGTGGGGTCTGACAGATATTTGCTGCCAGGACGCTTGTAGCCTTCCATCAAGAGGCGCGCCAAGGTTCCAGTGAGGAGCGCCGCGTAGAGGTCTCGGTGGCCACCAGTTGAGCTTCTTGGGAAACTGATTTAAGGTTCTGATCAAAAAACTCAGAGATGAATTAGGGTTTCACCTAGAAGCTCCTTATTGCGTAAATTAAACTTTTTGTAGGAAACCCACGTAAGATAACAGTTCCTCTTAAGGGTATAGATGGACCCCAAGGAAAAATTAGATCTTGCTCTCATGCTGCGACCGACGATACTACCCTGTGTCAATAATCACTGTCACTACTATCTAATGGGGGCTTGAATTTCGAACCGTATTTCAGTAAGGTTCGAAGGAGAAAATGTAATAGTATACCCGAACATGACCAGGATGAAAGTTTCATTTCAGGAACAGTCGAACTCAATAAGCCAGTAGTCGGCATGCCGTGAAGCAGTCGACACTCTAAGCAACAGAGTTGAGTCGCCCTTTGTTTTTTTGCTTATTTGCGTTTAATTATTGGTTTATTGGTCTACCAATCATCCTGAACCAGAGGGAGAAAGCATTGGTTTCCTGGTTTATATGCGGAAACCATAGGTACCGTGGGGCCGCGAAAATCCTGATGCCTCAAGCAGAGGATTTGGGGCGTCGATTCAGCACAGGGCTCGGGGTTCTGGGAAGAAGCGGAAGAGGCTTTAGTCTTGGATGCGGACCCTTAATACTGCGTACCGTGCTCCAGTAACAATGGATGCTTGGGATCCTACACGAAGGGGATGGGTTTTGATGAACACCCCTGTACCGTTTACAGGTCTCGTTACAGAGGCGCATGGGAACTCTTCAAGGCCTCCTTCTGCAAGCAAAACGAGCCTTAATCGGTGGAATAAGGTTCCTAGGATTCATTTTTAGGAATATCATACTGGGACTACAAGGGGGAAGTTTAATGTGAGCCCAAAGCCCGAAAGACCTGTCCGAGGCGACGTGCTTGAAAGGCCTCAATGATTACAATACGGCTTGAGGGGGTACATTACAGTACGGGGTACATTATGGGGACTTGCATAGCAACTCGCTGTTTCTTCCCTCAGGTTGAAAACAGTACTGGTTTAAAGTCCGAAAGTCCTAGCAAGAAAAGAAGGGCGTGGATGTTGGGGTTGTGTTATCGAATAGTCTATCATGGCTAGTTCTTCAGACCCATTGGAACTTCTTAGCGCAGAGCACAGGGGGCACCGGCCCACAGAACGAAGGACATGGATGGACATGGATGCCTCGCGTTGTCATGTCGAGCTGCCACGCCAATGGAGACTACACGTAACTGCAAGTCTTACAAACTTGGCTAACACATTCTCAAATGGCATGCTGCTTTGATGCGTTTAGGTAATTAAGGTCAGTGCCGTCGGGCGTTCAGGCCAATTTCTGCTGACGATTGCCAGTTCACCTGCCACGCACTTGTCGCGAAACGGTTACTTTAGGAACGGAAGGTGCCTGCAGCGAATGCGTTTCATTATCCGGTTGTCGTGATGGTGATTCGGCGCTCGCGAACTCACACCTCCATTACCCAACTATCCTCCTCACCCAGGATAGCTCTAGCACAAGTCGCGCACGCTACTCAAGCGATGCTTGCATGGATTGCATCTGCTAGTGTATTGAGCGACTGTGCCCGTTACCGAGGCTCCGATCGGACCAAAGATCAAATGTCCATCGTGACGTGGCAACTCGCACTCATGTTCAGCTATACCATTCGCTGACCCGCTTGCCCATGCGTTGACGTTTAAGGTTGTAATACCGGGCGAATTCCCGTTACACGTACCCCGCTGCTACGAAAGTAACTTCTGGTCCACGCCCGCAAGTGGTAGACGAGGCGCTTTCCAGCTGCCTCGATTCCCAAGATGCAAAGAGTGGTTGTGCTTTGGCAGCCGTTATCCGTTACCCAAGCGCAAGGATGCAGCGGTTTATCCCAAACGGCTCTCGCTTGCCCGGTTTGCCCTCAGTATAAGCGTGTACCGCAACACAGTAGCCATCTTGCCGCCAGCGCCAACGCCTTGTTCTGCAGGACCTCATGTCATTCAGTGCTTACAGTAAGGCAGCTCATGAAGCGCCAAACACCTGTAGCCGCGCTGCCCACCTCCTCATGCTGCAGCAGATTGTCCGCTGGCACGGGCCTTACACAAGAGCAGCACTGCGGGCAACGGGTAGCAAGATGCAGGTGGCCTTTGCTGTGCAAATGTTCGCGTGTGCTCCAAGGAGATGAAGGATTCCGAACACTTGCAGAACAGGCGCTGATCTTGCAAGAAGCGGCGCAGCGAGTCTGTCAAGTGGTTGCAGTTGTGCCGCCTCGGGTGTCAAGAAGAGAGGTCTGAGTAAGTGATCCCCAAAAAAACTTTTCGAGCACTTTCCCTCATGCCTAGGACCTGATGTTAAGTCAGAAGAACTCGAGATGCCTTTTCGAGGCCGATGCAATAGGTGGTACGATTCCGGCACGAAGTCTTTCTGACAAGACCTAAAGCTTGAGGTTGCATTCGGCACTGGCCCCAGATCCAATATGCTACTAGCGGCTTACTAGCGTTCATCAATCAACGAGCTAGCATTCCCGGACACCCCAAGTAAGGATTCTGCACTTAAAACTACATGCAAGCACTGAGCACGCCTCATGTGATCCATCGCTTCAGTCCTGGTCTTGGACGTGTAGCCCAGGAACCTGCACGCGCACTGACACCTGGCGGCTCTTTGCGAAGGGCAGCCCGGGAAGGTCTCTTCTCATCAGCTTCTCCCCACGGTGTGTTCCTTTCAGCTTCAGCTCAACTCTTTCAGCTTGGCGGAATCCGAAACAAACCCCACATATTAATATTCCCCCCCAATTACTTGTAGTCCTTGCGGAGACAAAGCCATTCTGTACTCGCACTCACAGGACACAAAATCTGCAAACCTCCTGAACAAAGCAAAATCCCGCCGCCGCTGAGTCAGAGGCTCGGCACCAAGCTGACAACGAGGGGCGTCGTCCAAGTAGTACTCCACAACTCAGCGCTTCAGACAGCTTCTGAATGCTCTGCTGCAAGCGCCAACTGCCAATGAGGCCTTCACTTTGAGTCCTCCAATCCACCACAATCGAGGTGTGCCAGATTCCCTGTCGGTAGGCAACACTGTAGGGGCTCCGAGGTGTCAGCCTTCCCAACCCGGCTCCTTGATATGGGAGCTCAAAAGCCACGGAGACCAGCGCGCTGCCCGTCCCTTCGTGATGTCGTACATGTAAAGCCAGACGGGGTAACCAGGGCCGCGGGACCTCTGCAACAAACTTTGGCATTGCGACAGCTTCAATGTCGTTGCAACTACCACTGCGTTGTTTCTGTTTCTGCTTCCACAACAAATATCACTCTGTTGCAGACCCAACATGTGCATGGCTTTCGGGCAACTGATGATGACATTCGAAACGCGCAAACTGCACAGTTTACATGAGCAGGTCACAGCATTCAAGAGTACGCTTCCGAATAAAATGTCATTCATAGCGAAGCCAAGCCCAATTTGGCAAAAACGTCTGCCTGAAAACCTTGATGAACTTACGGGATTAGCCTTCTTACATTTTAGCAGCCGGCGAGCGCCTGGACAAAACGGTTGAAATTCAAACCGCGCAAGAGATGAGAGCTAGAGTTTCAATCAATAGTGTGCGCTGATCGACATCCCAGTCTGCAACTCAGGCTGGAAAGGACAAGCGTCAAATACAATAGAGTAAGTACGACGAGACCAAAGGCAGCTGTTGATTTTGTGTGATGGCTGATTCAATTCGTGCTCGCGATCCAGAATGAACTGCTCATGGTTTGTAGAGAAGAGGGGACAGGGGGTGAGGCTGTAAGAAAAGCTGGTTATTGGAATTTGCGCGCGAACAATAATGATGCTCATGATGCTTTATTGTGCTGCTGTCCCAGACTGCACACAACCGATACTCGTGATGCTGCGGTGCTATCCCGGAGCAAAGCCAGCTGATGCTCCTGACCCCAAATTACACCAGCAAAGACCCCAAACAGCCCAAACAGAGGCATCGAATCATACCGGTTCAAGATGGAATGCGTTGGAACCCAATCAGGCTTCGCCAGCAGATGCTGCCAAAAATGTTTAAGGCTTAAACTTTAAGCATTCGGCAAAATTTTTCTGCGAAAGAAGCATGGTAAAGAAGCGGGAAGGGATTTGTCGGCTTACATTACAAAGCAAACAAAAAGCCCTCTTAACACGGAACCGTTGACGATTCTTTCGGCAGACCGAACGAAGGGCCTCTTGCACAGGATCTTGCTGCCGCACAAACCACGCGCGGGAAAATTACATACTTTTCCCGCAATTGTTACAACATTGCCGCATTGCAAGATAAGATACCTGACCGTTGCTGCGGACGTGCGCTGCGACCTGCAACAGGATGAGATTCTGAGACAGACTGCTCAATGTGACAGCAAGCAAGCTGCTGATATGAACCGAGTGCAGCGTCAGAAAGGAAAAAGCAGAGCCGTAGACCGAAAAAAACCTTGCTGCTACTTGCAAGATGTAGCTTGGCAAATGCAAGAAGCCGCTTGCAAGAATCAGGGCGCAGAACGAGGACTTTTCCAGCTCCGCATTGCCAGCCCCTTGACGCGAACAGCAACTAATGCTGTGGAAAGACAGTCTTTGCCTGTTCATCTTGGCAGCCGGTTGGGATTCTGAACTAGTTTAGGGTTTGGGGTTATATATATATATGTGCATATATATTTCTATGTGAGACTGTTAAGCCCCTCTTAGCGGGTATTCAGGCGAGGGAATGGATACCTGCATGATTAGTTTGCTCCGAGCCTGCTCCTACCTGCATGACTTACGTTTCTTTTGGGGCGTCAGTCCTGGTGGTTCTTGAAAGACTCACTTGTGCATGCGTTGCAGGACAGCAGCCATCTTTCTCCTTTTATGACAGTGTTCATAGAGCTAGCCAGCACACATCAATGTTTGGTGATGGCGATTGCGTCGGCTGAGGCCCGAGAATCACGGCGACGTGGTTGTGATCTGCATTGGTAAGCGCATCAATGCACACAAACAGGCCTGCAGGAGTCCGTTCTCCCCGTGTTCCCAGCGGTTGCCACGGTGGCCACAGATCACGACCTTGAATTCAATCCTCCGCCTTCACTTGTGCCGGGGTGCCCTGACTGCACACATTGGCCTCCATTACGATTGTGGAAAGGTCATGATCAACCTTCGAGCAATTGTCATGTCTCTTTCTGAGATTCCGCAACTGGATGCCAAGATTCCAATCCAAAATCGAAAGTGTGAATTTTCCCTAAAACCCCAAAAAACCCACAAGGGAGTGGTCCTGCTGCCGATTAGCAGCTTCACTGCGTTGGAAGTCCAACGCGGAAACGCCGCATTGCGTGTGAAACAAGGCACTGCCTGTCAGACACTTCAGGGTCAACAGTTTCGGGTTTGGGTGGGGGAAGGGGCTTGGTCTCATCTTCTTTAAACGCAGGTCATTCAAGGGTTTGTGTCGGGTCCTCGATTTGGGGGTGAACAAAGGTTGGGAGCATAGGATAAAGTGGACCCTGATCTTGCTTGTGAACACGGCTTGCTGGAGGAGTGGCATAAGGTTTGCAATAAGAGAAGGAGCCAACTACCAAGGCGTCCGCAGGGTTCCAGGCGCCAAGTTCCCTGCGCGAGGTGACGATGAAGACCTGCTCGCCTTCAAGGGCACCAAAACTCTTGCTGGAATCGCTGCCTATCTCTGCCTACGCATCCGGCACTCAGCCAAGCCGTCTGGAACGGCCGCTACCTGGCAGATTTCACCAAGTTCCGAATCAGCCGTTTGCAAGTTTCCAAATCAGCCGTTTGCCAGTTTCCGAATCATCCGTCCGCCAGTTTCCGAAACATCCCTGTCCCGGTTTCCGAATTCCTTGCTGTAGTTTCTGATTCATCCGTCTGGGTTTCTGATTCAGCCGTCCTGGTTGCAGATTCAAGCCTGGTTTCTGATTTTCCCGTTTCGGTTTCTGACTCAGGTCTGGTTTCTGATTCAGCCGTTCTGGTTTCTGATTCAGCGGTTTTGGTTTCCGGTTTTTTAGTCGACCGGGTCCCCAGGGAGGGTTTAAGGGGGTCCCAGGGTCCCAGCAAAACTCCCAGCAATAGCCAAATTCGTGCGTTTGTGAGCCCCCCCCCTCTATAGGAGCCGCCGACAGGCGGGACCCGCCACAACATCGGTTTGCAGCTCCTCCAAGCCATGGAAGGGGGGGGAGGGGGGGGGGGTCCCACAGGGCTGAGAAGCCCTTGAAGGGGGTGCATCACAAAATTGGCATTAGGCCGATCCGTGTCTGTCTGTTCCAAACGCTTCTCGGCAGGAAGCCGAGGCGAATGTATTGAACGCCTTGACGTGTTCTTTGACATGCACAATCTGTGTTTTCTCTGTTAGTTTACTCCGCCGTTTATGTTCATCTGCGATTACATTTTTCCGAAAGCAGCGCCGCCTCATAAGTAGCGTGGGCTTTGGAGACCCTGAACCTAGGCCTATGACGTGCCAGTGTCATATTTTCCACAGAGAAGCGGAAAGACACAGCAAGCATTCGTCCCGAAAGCGTTGCATCACCATTTTTGAGTGGGCCGCATCTTCATTATCCTCCGTGATCTGAGCGCAGCGGGTGGGACAAGCGGGCTTCTGCCCGCCACTAAAGCCGCAGCATCAGTCAGCTATGGTCCAAAGAAAGTACTGGTCAGAACGTTTTTGTCAGAGCATGGGCCAGTGAGGGTAGCTGTTCTTTGCAGTCATCGTCAAGTTGCACCTTGCAACTAAGCCGGAGACGAGGTCAGCAGTCGGGGGCCGCCGTTTTTTGCATTGTTATATGAACCCTTTCAATTGCAATGTTTTAGCGGGTCCCGCCTCGCGCCACTTTCCTTTTCAGCCTAAGCCTTGCAAAGCTAAACGCAGCCGTGTTGTTTGAAGAGTTTAGCTTTTTTCCCCCGACAGCTTTAGCTTTGGGGTGTTCAGCCCGTTTAGCTTCGGAGCAGATCGGAGCGGGCCCCGCAGCAGGGGTCCAGCGCTGGTGCCGCGAAGGATGTGGGTCTGGAGCGCGTGACGGGTCGCGGGTTCGGAGTGGGTTCCGGGCGAAGGTTCCGGAGTGCGGGTTCCAGAGCAGGTATTGGAGCAAGTTGTGGAGCAGGTTTGGGGTTGCGGAGCAGTTTCCGGGCGCGGGTACCGGAGCACGGGTTTTGGAGCGTGCCAGGTTTTGGGGCGGGTTGCGGACTGCCTACGCCTTGTGTGTTTTTTTGTGGGTTCACTTTGCAAAGCCCCAGCCTGTATGTCATGCTGTGTTTTTTCCGTGAGTTCACGCGGCAAGGCCCCAGCCTGTATGCCACGCCCCGTGTTTGTCGAGAGTTAACATGAAAGGGCCGCAGCCTGTATGTCACGCCTTGTGTTTTTCGTGAGTTCACATGGCAAGGCCCCAGCCTGTATGTCACGCCGTGTGCTTTCGTGAGTTCCAGACCCCAGCCTTTGTGTCACCCTGTGTTGTTCGTGAGCTACCATGGGGAGGCCCCAGCCTGTATGCCACGCCCTGTGTTTTCCGTGAGTTCACGTGGCAAGGCCCCAGCCTGTATGCCACGCCCCGTGTTTTTCGTGAGCTCACATGGCAAGGCCCCAGCCTGTATGTCACGCCTTGTGCTTTTCGTGAGCACACGCGGCAAGGCCCCAGCCTGTGTGTCACGCCCTGTGTTTTTCGTGAGTTCACAGGGCAAGGCCCCAGGTGTCATGTCACGCCCTGTGTTTGTCGAGAGTTAACATGAAAGGGCCGCAGCCTGTATGTCAGTTCACTTGGCAAGGCCCCAGCCTGTATGTCACACCCCGCATTTTTTCGTGAGCTCACATGCCAACGCCCCAGCATGTATGTCACGCCCTGTGTTGTTCGCGTTCACATGGCAAGTCCCCAGGCTGTATATCACGCCACGCCCCGTGTTTTTCGTGAGTTCACATGGCAAGAGCCCAGCCTGTATGTCACGCCCTTCGTGAGTTCACATGGCAAGAGCCTAGCCTGTATGTCATGCCCTGTGTTTTCGTGAGTTCGCATGGCAAGGCCCCAGCCTGTGTGTCACACCCTGTTTTGTCGGGACGTCACATGGCAAGGCCCCAGCCTGTATGTCACGCCCTGTTTTGCCTGCGGACGACAAATATAGCAGTAGCATAATGATTAGAGCCAAACGCATATCTGTTGGTTGACGTATTGTACTGAATTGAATATGGGGGCTCTAGAACGCTTGCAAAACGGGATTTCGCGGCTGCTTTGAGGCTGCATGCCCAACAGCCTACGAGCTGCATGCCCAACAGCCTACGAGCTGCATGCCAAACAGCCTACGAGCTGACTGCCGAGCGCCAGCTGCCGAGCGCTTTCGAGCTGCATGCCAAACAGCCTACGAGCTGACTGCCAAGCGCTTTCGAGCTGATTGCCAGCCTCGAACGCCTCCGCCACGCCTTGCCAGCGCTCCGAAGCTCCCCCCTCACACGCGCGCTGCGCGCTAGCGCGCGAAGCGCGCAAAGGTCCGCCCCCCTGGGCTCGAAATTTCTCGACCTGGACCTCAAATTGAGTTCCAGGTGTTTTCTAGTCAGACGTGCTTTGCGCTAGCGCTCGACTCCTCGCTTCCGAGCACGACGGCTCACCGGCAAGCGGCGCTTTCGAGCTGCCAAACAGCCTCGAAGGCTTCGATTCCTGGCCTCGATGCCTCGTAAGCCTCGATGCCTCGCAGGCACTCCGAAGCTCCGCCGCTCTCAGACGCGCGCTAGCGCGCGAGGCGCGCGAAGCGCCTGGGCGCGAAGATTTCTCGACCTGTCAGTCAAATTGACTGACAGATCGAGAAATTTCTCGACCTGTCAAGCAATCAGGTATTTTCTAGTCAGGCGTGCTTACCAGCGAGCGGATCCTGCAGCTTCGAAGCCCGCCGCGCGCGATGCATCTGCTCTCGAGTCACCGCGCGGCTGTTTTGCAAGCACTTTAGAGCCCCTCCGATTCCCAGCTCTGCGGCCTCCAGCCTGCAGAATCGACGGCCTCCCGAAATGCATAATTCTCATCGACGTCTCGTAATCAGCCTCATAGCCACCATAGAGTGGAGAACTGGAACACCTCCCTAGAGAGAGCTGCGCCTCGATTCCAGGCGGTTGTTCTGGGCGCTGGGCCGAGGAGGCCCTGAGACACTGAGACTTTGAGACTGCAGTCTCGATTCCAGGCTATTCTGGACGCTGGGCCGAGGAGGCGCTGAGACATTGAGACTTTGAGACTTTGAGACTGCGGCCTCGATTCCAGGGTCTCAACGTCTCAATGTCTCAGTCTCAGAGCCTTCTCGGCCCCGCAGATGTTCTAGCATTCGTTCGGAAGCCACGAGCCATCGAGCTGCATGCCAAACAGCTTTTGAGCGGCATGCCAAACAGATGTCGCGACAGTGCTTCGGAGTGGAGCTCGCGCGCTGCGCGCGCTAGGCGAGCGTGAGAGGCCGAGGAGGCCTGAGACACTGAGACATGGAGACGTTGAGACGTCGAGTCTGCAGGGCCGATCGCGCGCGCTAGCGCGCGTCTGGGAACGACGGAGCTGGTTGCAAGGCGCAGCGGAGGCCTTCGTGGCAATCAGCTCGAAAGCGCTCGGCAGTCAGCTCAAAAGTCGTTTGGCAATCAGCTCGAAGGCGCCTGGCAGTCAGTTCGAAAGTCGTTTGGCATGCAGCCGCGAAATCCCGTTTTGCAAGCATTTTAGAGCCCCTGCGATCGCTCGAGCTCCGGGCCGGAGGCCCGAGAATCGACAGCCTCTCGAAATGCATAATTCTCATACATCCCTCATAACCAGGCCTGTAGCCACCACAGAGTGGAGAGCTGGAACACGCCCCCTAGAGAGAGCAAAATCTTTATTACAACATATCTAGGCTCAGGGATTCCTATACATAGTCTTCTGCAAGTTATTATACGTGAAAGGGATAATAAAGGGTATAAATATGGGTAAAGGTATAGATTCTATGTAATACAACCATTCTAGGAGGAGATGGAGGCATTTTTGCCGTCTGGGACCGGGGAGGGGGCAGCAGAAACACTGAGGCAATGAGACAACGCACCCTGGGATAGAAGCAGAGTCTCCGCCTGGGGATGGGGAGAAGCCGCTGGGACATTGAGACAATGAGACAACGCACCCTGGGATGGAAGCGGAAGGGTTTTATATCGTCCGGGGATGGGGAGAAGCCACTGAGACAAGGAGACAATGAGACAACGCACCCTGGGATAGAAGCGGAAGGGTTTTATATCGTCCGGGGATGGGGAGAAGCCACTGAGACAAGGAGACAATTGATACAACGCACCCTGGGATAGAAGCGGAAGGGTGATATATCGTCCGGGGATGGGGAGAAGACAACGCACCCTGGGATAGAAGCGGAAGGGTTTTATATCGTCCGGGGATGGGGAGAAGCCACTGAGACAAGGAGACAATGAGACAACGGCCTCTATACCTGGGGGTGTCGGTTGTCTCATTGTCTCATTGTCTCAGCAGGGGTTCGGGCCCTGGGATGTGAAATCTCTGGCATCGAAGCGGTTGTCTCATTGTCTCATTGTCTCAGCAGGGGTTTGGGCCCTGCGATGTTGAATCTCTAGCATCGAAGCGGTTGTCTCATTGTCTCAATGTCTCAGTAGGGGCTCGGTCCCTGGGATCCGTAAAGGGCGGTTGTCTCATTGTCTCAATGTCTCAGCAAGGGTTTGGCCCCTGGGATCCGTAAAGATCTCACCCTGGGGTCGAAGCGGTTGTCTCATTGTCTCAATGTCTCAGCAGGGGTTTGGCCCCTGGGATCCGTAAAGATCTCACCCTGGGATCGAAGCGGTTGTCTCATTGTCTCAATGTCTCAGCAGGGGTTTGGCCCCTGGGATCCGTAAAGATCTCACCCTGGGGTCGAAGCGGTTGTCTCATTGTCTCAATGTCTCAGCAGAGGTTTGGCCCCTGGGATCCGTAAAGATCTCACCCTGGGATCGAAGTGGTTGTCTCATTGTCTCAATGTCTCAGCAGGGGTTTGGCCCCTGGGATCCGTAAAGATCTCACCCTGGGATCGAAGCGGTTGTCTCATTGTCTCAATGTCTCAGCAGGGGTTTGGCCCCTGGGATCCGTAAAGATCTCACCCTGGGATCGAAGCGGTTGTCTCATTGTCTCAATGTCTCAGCAGGGGTTTGGCCCCTGGGATCCGTAAAGATCTCACCCTGGGATCGAAGTGGTTGTCTCATTGTCTCAATGTCTCAGCAGGGGTTTGGCCCCTGGGATCCGTAAAGATCTCACCCTGGGATCGAAGCGGTTGTCTCATTGTCTCATTGTCTCAGCAGGGGTTCGGCTCCTGGGATCTAGATTTTTTTTTCTAACCCCTTCACGGCGGGGCAATGGGTCCCTCAATGTCTCAGAGCCTCGCTCCACAGACTCGACGTCTCAACGTCTCAATGTCTCAATGTCTCAGGGTCTCGACTCCACAGACTCGACGTCTCAACGAATGTCTCAATGTCTCAGGGCCATCGGCCTCAGAGCCAGCCGACTCGATGCCTCCACGCCCAGACCCGATAATCGTCAGCCTCTCGAAATGCATAATTCTCAAACATGTCTCGTAACCAGGCCTGTAGCTACCACAGAGTGGAGAGCTGGAACACCTCCCCTAGAGAGAGCAACCCAAAATCTTAAATTTCAGAGAGTTGGAAGTTTGAAGCTCCGTGGTCGTCATATGGTGGGGGATCTTCTCTACAGAGGGAAAACAAGGCAGAATCCAACAACTCTCTCAATGCTGCCCCTAGATCCCACCACTGAGACCCAGGACGCAACGATCATCGGCCTTTCAGGCCAAAAAATTTGGCGATTGTGGACGAGCGGAACGAACGAAGCGAACGGAGCTTGCGGAGTGAGCGGAGTGAGTGGAGCGAGAGAGTCCACCAAGGTCCGATTTCGAGTAATTGCGTTGGGCCTCTCAGCTCTGTCGATTCTTCAGTTTTGGTCCGAGACCGTATGCTGAACACCCTTCAAGTTTTGAATCAGCTCTGAGTGCGATTTTCCGAAGTCCATTTTGGCCTGCAGGAATCTGCTTTGGGCAAGAGCACTTTTCTCGGTGCTGATCAAGCATTTGCCGTGGGCAGAGATGGTGACACGTTTTGGGTCGTGGGTCTCGGTGAGAGGTAGGCTTCCACAACGCGCAGGTGGCTTTCAGACAGCCAGAGGGGACCTGTGAGAATTTTGACGGGCAGGATGGTGCTGCCGTTTGAAGGCGCGCCACCCACGACAATGTTGGCTGGAGTTTGCATTTTTGCTGGCGGTTTTTTTTACAGGGGGCGGGCATTGGGTCTAAAGCGTTTAGGGCTGGCCAATCAAAGCACGTCCGTCAGAGTGAACGATTGGGAATGCTTGGCGCGGATGCTTCTGCAGCGTGCAATTTGCATGAAATATTTGGCATGTTGACGTGATTGTGAAACTCTTTTTATGGACTGTCATGAGTTCCGGCGCCGGCACGTTTTTTTGCGTCGTGCAAGGATTTTGTTTATGATATTTTGGAAAAGCAGCGTGAGAATTTTGAGGACTGAAGCGGCCCACATGTGACCGTGACTTTGCGAAGTTCGGAGGCGAGGACCCCAGCGAACTCGTGAGTACGGGGCCCATGCGAGACGCAACTTAAATCTTTGAGCCCTTCAATTCTCGAAGTGCGAAATTTGCCTCAAGGGTGCTCAGTTCTTAGCGTCGTTCTTAGCTTCTTACTTCCCTCGCTCCATGGCCGCGTTAATTTGGGTGAAAGTCAAAGGTGGCAAGACAACCCTCAAGTTGTCTACGGCAAGTCTAGAGGACGTCTGTGACCTCATCAGGATGGTCAAGAATGATAAGGATCTGAAACCGCTGCTTGACAACGTGCCCCTCGTCCAACTCCAGCTCTACCAGTCGGAGACGACAGCCGAGGAGAGGAGTCGTTGCAATTGTTTTGTTGTTTCCAAGTTCCGTGTAAAGGGAATGTGCGCGACATGGTAGGCTATGAGTGAGTTGTAGGTGCCCGGTGATGTTGGGCATGTTCCACTTGCCGCACATGGCTTCCTGTAATTGGGTTCTCAGTGGGTAGGTTGTGAGAGCGAACTGTTCTTGTTGTAGGTTGAGGTTCTTGTCTCCAGAAGTTTGGGTTGGTGCTCCTTTGTTCGGCATCGTTCCTTCTGCGAGGCCGTGGAGAGCTGGAAGCCGATTTCAGACATCGACGGCGGCAGTGACGGTCGCCACCCGCTCTATTTGGACTACCCGGACGTCCCGGTGACGACTTGGCTGAAAGACGGGTGCTTCACGATGTGGGGCACCTGCTCCGGCGACATGGCGGTATTATGCCGGTGCCTCGTGCTGTTCTTGTCGGTTGCGGTGTATGTCGTGATCACAGTCGATTGCTACGATGATGGTGATGTGCCGGCATTCAGGGCACTGCTGGCAACATTTGTCCTCACAGGAGCGGATTTGCTCCCGAAGATTTGTCATGAGGAGCACGAAGACATCATCGAGTGGGGCTTTGCTTTCTTTCTCCTCGCGTTCGGTTTGCTAGCTCTACATCAGCGGTTCTTCTCCGAAGATGTCTGTATGGGGATCATCACCGGGGCAGCCGCCAACTTGTACAAAAAATTCGCGCTCCTTCTGATTTGCACCGGTGAGTTTCGGCAAGCTAGTTCGCGCTCTTTGGAGCGGTTCTTCCCCACCCTGATGCGGCCCGCAACGTCAAACGCAGCGAGTGCACCGCTTTTGCCAGGTCCATCTCACACGGGTTGAGCGATAGATCGTGCGCGATGGGAAGGTGGAGTGAAAAGAGTGGTGGGTTTCGCATCGTTCGTTGTTTGCAGCTGCAAGCGACAGGTGTTGCAGACTTGGGATGCTTTTTGGCATGGCATGCGTGTTTTTGCTGGAGCTTTGTTGGCTTGATTTTCATGTTGTGCTAGGATATGAGCCTATTGTAACAACGACGGGTAGCAGAGAGCCACATTTTGATTCCGAAGAGGGGGTCAGAGCAACAGCTACCACATCTGAGGAGGGCAGCAAACACGCAATCCTGACACGGGGAAGTGCAAGCCAGCGCCCCGCAGTGACTTGAGGTGCGTGGTTGGTGGTTTAGGGTCTTCAGGAGGGGTTGGGATGTTTAGGATGCAGTCCCGAACGTCTGATCTCCCAACTTGCTGGGCGAGGCGCCCAGACTTCCCTGTGTCATGTAGACCCCTCCCCCGTCTTTTGCCCAGGTCTCCGCCTCATCATCGCCATCTTCCGGTTTGTTCGTGAGCTTCTTAGGCTTTTGGCAAGCGCTGTGCCCAACCCTTACTTTGCTTAGGTGCTCGGGGTCGGGTCCTTTGAGCTTTGCAGATCGTGAGGGTCTACTTTTTGTGAGCCAGATTTCCTGAGCTTTGAGCGATTCGACGCATGCTGCAGTGACCCGTGCCGTTCTGGAGAGCTTCCTGCACTACATGTGCCCTTTGAAGTGCTTCAGGAACCACTTTCGTCCTGGCCACTTTCTGATTGCAGAGCGGGAGCCTGTGACTGTTTGCAGCAGTCTCCGCTTGTGGGATCGAGGGGTTGATGCCAGATGTTGGGGTTCTGTTGTCGTTGAGGGTCCTCTTTGGGGGTTACTGGTCTGTTAGTTCTCTGCATGTGCCGCTTTTAGGAAGGCAGTGAAGGGCCTCTAAGGGTCCCTGGCGAAGGCCTCTAAGGGGGTCCCTGGCGAGTGAAGGGCCTTGAAGGGGGGGTCTCCGGTGAGGGCACACGGTGGTTGAGTGCTTGCCTGACTTTTGTGCTTGTTAGGGAGCAGGGTCCAGAACTGCTGCCGCGGCCAAAGGCGTGAAATCCCAGCCCGCAGGCCCGTGAAATGCGCGAAATCCCTGCGCCCGGAGGCCCGTGAAATGTGTGAAGTCCCTGCGCCCGGAGGCCCGTGAAATGTGTGAAGTCCCTGCGCCCGGAGGCACGTGAAACGTGTGAAGTCCCTGCGCCCGGAGGCCCGTGAAATGTGTGAAGTCCCTGCGCCCGGAGGCACGTGAAACGTGTGAAGTCCCTGCGCCCGGAGGCCCGTGAAACGTGTGAAGTCCCTGCGCCCGGAGGCCCGTGAAATGTGTGAAGTCCCTGCGCCCGAAGGCCCGTGAAATGTGTGAAGCTGCGCCCGGAGGCCCGTGAAACGTGTGAAGTCCCTGCGCCCGGAGGCCCGTGAAATGTGTGAAGTCCCTGCGCCGGGAAGCCCAACCCACCCCCCCATCTCGAGGCGAAAATCGGGGGCTGGGGTTCCCCTGCGGCCCTCAGATTTCACAGGTTTCTCGCCCCCCGCGGCCCTCAGATTTCACAGGTTTCTCGCCCCCCGCGGCCCTCAGATTTCACAGGTTTCCCGCCCCCCGCGGCCCTCAGATTTCACAAGGTTCCGCCCCCCGCGGGGCCTCAGATTTCACAGGGTTCCCGCCCCCCGCGGCCCTCAGATTTCACAGGTTTCCCGCCCCCCGCGGCCTTCGCTTTTTCACATCGTCAAAACTTGGGATTTTTTGCACGGCAGCTTGCGTGGCGCGGCTTGCCCTCTAAGCTCTAGGCCTCTAGGCCCGATAGACCCCAACCCTTACCGTACCATACACTCCCCTCAACCAACAACACTTTGCCTACACTCGAACCCCCTAACCCCAGTGACGGATTGGGATGTCACTGCAGGCGCATCTTCCTTTGGAGTCGGAGGCAAGGAAACCATTCACACAACGTGTTCTGACGTGTTGAGTTTTTGTTGTGTGGTCCATGCTGCGACAACGTAGCTTGGCGAGCTCTTTTGGCTTGCGAGACCAATGGAGCCATCGCGGCCGCCCTGACTGCGTACTACGACTCGGCCCAGACAGATGCAGCCATCGCGGCAGCGCTCGTCCCCTACAGCACCACGGTGCAGATGGACGCCGCGATAGCGGCTGCCGTGGGGGCCATCGACCTCTCCGCATACAGCACCATCGCGGCCCGGGACGCCGCCATCGCAGCAGCGCTGGTCCCCTACAGCACCACGGTGCAGATGGATGCCGCGATAGCGGCTGCCGTGGGGGCCATCGACCTCTCCGCGTACAGCACCATCGCGGCCCGCGACGGCCCTGGGTGACTATGTGCCCTGGACGGGGCTCCAGGCCCCCATCAACGAGATCAACATCGCCCTGACAGACTACTGGGACCAGACGGAGACCAGTGCGGAGATCGCGGGCTCCTCACGGAGGCGCAGGGGGACGCGCGCTATCATCCCGTCAACGGCAACGCCGGCGGGGGAGGCATCATCCGTATGGTGCTCGACAACTTCACGCCAAGAATGATCCGCGCGCTACTGCCTCAAGCGCCTCTGGGGGCGAACCTGATCCTCGGCAACTCCGCCACGGTCCAGCTGACGTGCGATTGTTGGAGCAAGCAAGAGAGTAGTGATCGCTTCTTATCCAGCACCGACTTCACCCCCCTGGACTCCCGCTACCACGTGGTCAACGGCAATGCCGGAGGCGGAGGCATGGTCTTGGACAACTTCACGCCCCGCATGATCCGCGCGCTGCTGCCCCAGGCTCCTTTGGGGGCGAACCTGATCCTGGGCAACTCCGCCACAGTGCAGCTGACTTGCGACTGCTTCAGCAAAAGTGAATCGCTCTCCCTCTTCGCCACGCCGGCCGACCTGGACGTCATCAGCTGCACCAGCCTCACCGCCGGCAGCTTCGTGAACACGCTCAACTTCACCAGGTAATCCAGGTATAGAGGCCGTTGTCTCATTGTCTCCTTGTCTCAGTGGCTTCTGCCCATCCCCGGACGATATAAAACCCTTCCGCTTCTATCCCAGGGTGCGTTGTCTTCTCCCCATCCCCAGACGATATATAACCCTTCCGCTTCTATCCCAGGGTGCGTTGTATCAATTGTCTCCTTGTCTCAGTGGCTTCTCCCCATCCCCGGGCGATATAAAACCCTTCCGCTTCTATCCCAGGGTGCGTTGTCTCATTGTCTCCTTGTCTCAGTGGCTTCTCCCCATCCCCGGACGATATAAAACCCTTCCGCTTCCATCCCAGGGTGCGTTGTCTCATTGTCTCAATGTCCCAGCGGCTTCTCCCCATCCCCAGGCGGAGACTCTGCTTCTATCCCAGGGTGCGTTGTCTCATTGCCTCAGTGTTTCTGCTGCCCCCTCCCCGGTCCCAGACGGCAAAAATGCCTCCATCTCCTCCTAGAATGGTTGTATTACATAGAATCTATACCTTTACCCATATTTATACCCTTTATTATCCCTTTCACGTATAATAACTTGCAGAAGACTATGTATAGGAATCCCTGAGCCTAGATATGTTGTAATAAAGATTTTGCTCTCTCTAGGGGGCGTGTTCCAGCTCTCCACTCTGTGGTGGCTACAGGCCTGGTTATGAGGGATGTATGAGAATTATGCATTTCGAGAGGCTGTCGATTCTCGGGCCTCCGGCCCGGAGCTCGAGCGATCGCAGGGGCTCTAAAATGCTTGCAAAACGGGATTTCGCGGCTGCATGCCAAACGACTTTCGAACTGACTGCCAGGCGCCTTCGAGCTGATTGCCAAACGACTTTTGAGCTGACTGCCGAGCGCTTTCGAGCTGATTGCCACGAAGGCCTCCGCTGCGCCTTGCAACCAGCTCCGTCGTTCCCAGACGCGCGCTAGCGCGCGCGATCGGCCCTGCAGACTCGACGTCTCAACGTCTCCATGTCTCAGTGTCTCAGGCCTCCTCGGCCTCTCACGCTCGCCTAGCGCGCGCAGCGCGCGAGCTCCACTCCGAAGCACTGTCGCGACATCTGTTTGGCATGCCGCTCAAAAGCTGTTTGGCATGCAGCTCGATGGCTCGTGGCTTCCGAACGAATGCTAGAACATCTGGGCCGAGAAGGCTCTGAGACTGAGACATTGAGACGTTGAGACCCTGGAATCGAGGCCGCAGTCTCAAAGTCTCAAAGTCTCAATGTCTCAGCGCCTCCTTGTCCGCGCCGCTGCTCAAACACACCACACAGCAACACGCAGCACGAAGGGCTGTTTCCGAGACTTGCGGGTGGTCGACACTTTACACACGAGGACTAAGGACTTCAACGATTTACAGCAGCAAAGCAGTAGGACTTTCACACACTTAGGCTTCAGTAGGCACTCACAGCAGCAAAGCAGCTGTCTCAGTGTCTCAGAGCCTCCTCGGCCCAGCGTCCAGAACAGCCTGGAATCGAGACTGCAGTCTCAAAGTCTCAATGTCTCAGTGTCTCAGGACCCAGCGTCCAGAACAACCGCATGGAATCGAGGCCGCAGTCTCAAAGTCTCAATGTCTCAGAGCCTCCTCGGCCCAGCGCCCAAAAACCCAATACCTGCAAAACCCCTCAGACACCTCAGAGTTCTAAAACTGTCAGTATGGGGCTCAGAGCTTTAGGGCTTTAGGGCTGTAGAGCTTTAGGGCTTAGAGGGTTCATGGTGCAGATTGCTGAGGGCTTGGGGTTTTCTTAGTAGCTGAATGAGTAGCTACACTTTAAACTTGTTGGGATACTATAATCCCGCCCCTATAGAACTGAAAGTGTAATCCCTTCCCCCGTTTATTAAATACCCCCTTAATGATAAAATCACATTCCGGAAAATCCCCTCGAAATCAGCCCAATTCCGAATTAGGGGGGAGGGTTTAGGAGTTGGACGGTAGCCGCAGTTTTAGGGTTTAAAATTGTGTTTTAGAGTTTAGGGTGGTGGGGGGGGGGGGCTGACCCTAAGCCCTAAAAGTGACATTACGTGAAAAATATCCCCTAATACTAAAAGCACATTTCGAA